GGCTTTGGGTGAGAAATTTTGTCAAATAGGTGGTGGGCAGCTTGGTTGTGGCAAGGTTGGAAATGATGTAGAGTCGCCGACGACCAGGTAATTACACACAATACACTTCAAAAAGCAAACCACAAATCAATACCAACGAAATCCGACGTTTGCAGAGGATAAGGGTCGTAAAACGCGACTTACTTGCGGCGTCAAAAAGAGGTCAAAGGCGGCGAACAATGAGTGGAGGGAGCCAGAGGAGCTAGTGGTTTAGAAGAGGTGACTCATGTCAAAGTGAAACACACGCAATTGTTAGGTATGTTCTTATGTAATATTACTTTAAATTTTGTAAGAAAAATGAAAAGGTAAATAAACAATTATTAAAAAATAATTAAATGGACTAATATTTAAGGGAAAATACAACATTATTTTATAGTTGTTAAGAGTCAATCAAACTCAACCTAACCTGTTCCTTTATCAAACATAACCAGCAAACACTCAAGAAACAACACAAACAATAACAAATCAAGAACTAAGAACACAGCCAATTTTTACCATGGTTCGTTTATCCCAAAGGAATAAACTACATCCACGTTGAGCTCCAAGTAAAATGGAGGCTCACTGCACTATAAGGATCAATCCAATTACAGATTACAACTCAATCAATAACAGCCACTCAAATCATCCAACCTTCAATCCCCCGTAATCTACTCTCAAAGACAACTACTACAAGCGTCTTAACCAGAAGAGCCTAACACTTCTTCTACCCACAATTTACCGAATAAATTGCAACAAATTACACAAATTGAAGATTAACCAAACTAAGAATAAAACCCTAGCAGAGATGAAAAAATGCGATAGAGAGGATGAAAGCTACTATTTGTTTCTGTATAACTTCAGCTTTCAATAGGTTGACCTCAAGGCTTCATTTGCACCATTGGATTAGACTAAAACCAAAGGCTGAGATCTGTCACTTAATAAAACTTCAAAATGATAGCGTATTGCTTACTCCAACACGACACCGTTTGAAGCTTCACTCAACAATCTCCACCTTGAAGCTTCAACACCTCACAAGGACCATATACCTTATCAGTGCAGTTTACCCACAAGTTACTCATCATAGCTCAGTTGCTGCCTTTTACTGAATATGCAGCAAGTTCAAGCAGTGCTTGAACTTGGTTGGAGAGACCACCTTTGTTCCCATATCTGAAGGGTTATCCTTGGTTGGCACTTTTTTCAAAATGACCACTCCTTTATCCACCAGTTCCCTTACAAAATGGTATTTGACATCAACATGTTTGGTTCTCTTGTGGTACACGGGATTTTTGCTCAGGTGTATGGCACTTTGGCTGTCTGAATAGATAGTGACAACACCCTCCAACAGATTAACCTCTAACAGTAACCCTTGGAGCCATAGAGCTTCCTTGAAAACATCCGTTACAGCTACATACTTTGCCCCAGTTGTTGATAGGGCAACAATTGGCTGGAGTTGGGACTTCCAGCTCACACAATTTCCTCCCAAGGTGAACACGTATGCAGTGGTTGATTTCCTTGAATCCTTGTCACCTGCAAAGTCAGAATCTACAAACCCTACCAGATCAAGTGAGTCATATCTTTTTTCATATTTCAAGCTCACATGAACAGAACTATTGATATATCTAAGAAGCCATTAAAGAGCAAGCCAATGTTCAAAACCAGGATTTGACATAAATCTGCTTAAGAAGGAAATTGCAAAAGAAAGGTGTGGTTAGGTACTAATCATGGCATACATTACTGACCCAACTACGTTTGCATAAGGGATGTTTTCTATTTTTATTAAATCTGTATCAGATTTAGGGCATTGTGATCTACTTAACATAAAGTGACCAGCTAGGGGTATATTTACAGTTTTAGAACCTGCCATGCCAAACCTAGACACTAAATTTTCCAGATAAGCCTTCTGATGGATTTTTAATTTAAAGTCCTTTCTGTTTCTATCTATTACTATGCCTAGAATCTGTTTAGCACTTCCCAAATCCTTCATATCAAATTTAGAGTTCAATTTTTTCTTTAGCTCTTCTATCCTAGATTTAGACTTGCTAATTAAAAGCATGTCATCAACATACAACAGCAAATATAAAGGCATGTCATCATATAAAGCATAATAGAAACAGCTGTCATATTTGCTTCTATTGAAGCCAATGTTGAGAATAAAAGCATCAAAACATTTATACCACTGCCTAGGGGACTGTTTCAGTCCATATAAGGATTTATGAAGTAAACATACATGGTTGGGCAGATTTCTATCTACAAATCCTATAGGCTGTCTCATGTAAATCCTTTCTTCTAAGTTTCCATGCAAAAAAGCAGTTTGAACGTCCAGTTGTTCTAATTCCAAGTCCTCATGAGCAACTATGGTTAGCATAATCCTAATGCTCTTATATTTAACAACGGGGGAGAATATCTCATTAAAGTCTATTCCCTCCCGCTGTGTGTAGCCTTTGGCTACCAACCTGGACTTATATCTAGGGGGTCCAGTGGGGTTCATGCCTTCTTTAAGCTTAAACAACCATCTACATTCAATAAGTTTCTAGTCTTTGGGATTTGGAACCAAAGACCAGGTTGCCTTTTCCTTTAGGGACAACATCTCTTCCTCCATTGCTGCTTGCCATTTTTCTTTGTCTTTGGATCTAACTGCTTCTTCATAGCAGTCTGGTTCTGTCCTCTAAACTTGAGCCCCTGTCACCAGGGCCATGTAAATCAAATCCGTATAGGAGTATCTTGCTGGTGGCCTGATTTCTCTCCTACTTCTATCCATGGCTAGCTAGTACTGAGCTAAGGGGTCAGGATGGGGTTTAGCAGGTTCTGTTGCATTTTCCTCTTCCAAGTCAAGGTCCAGATCTGGTTCATTTACTTCAGCTTCCTGATGTTCCAATCTAGGTGGAATTTCAGCAGGCTCCACCTCAATTTGGACTCTCCCAGGCTAGTCCTGGGTCATAGGATTGCTACTTGTTGATCCTGCATCAGGGTTAGCAATTTTGCAAGGAAATATATTTTCATTGAAAATTACATCTCTGCTGATTATTATCCTAACTCCTAGGGTACTTTTATCCCAAAGCCTATACCCTTTGGTTCCCTCTTGGTAACCTAGGAAGACACACCTAAGTGACCTAGGATCTAATTTCCCTTCACTGTTATGGACGTATGCAGCACATCCAAAGGTCCTCAAGTGTCCTAAACTAGGTTTCCGATTACTCCATTTTTCCTCAGGACATTTAAAGCTGATGGCACTTGAGGGACTTCTATTAATAAGGTAGGCAACTGTATTTAGGGCTTCTCCCCAAAATGACTTAGGAAGGCTGGATGTGAAGAGAAGGCATCTCACCTTCTCTAAAAGGGTTCTGTTCATTCTTTCAGCAACCCCATTCTACTGAGGGGTTCACCTAACATTTCTATGTCTTAGGATGCTATGTTCAGTGTAATAGGAGTCAAATTCTAGGTTACAGAACTCTAAGCCATTGTCTGTTCTAAAAGTTTTAATTCTTTTGTCAGTTTGGTTCTCTACAAGGACCTTCCAACTCTTAAACCTACCCAAAGCTTCATCCTTAGTCCTAAGCAAGAAAACCCACACATTCCTACTGTAATCATCTACTATGGACAGAAAATAACTACTAGCCCCATGTGATTTGACCCTTTCAGGTCCCCATAAGTCAGCATGCAAATATTCTAAGCAGTTGGCAGCCAGGTGAGTCCCCTTTTGGAAACTCAACCTGTGTTGCTTGCCCATAATGCAGGTCTCACAAAATTCAAGAGTTTCAATTGGGTCCTTACCAAACATATGGAGGATGTCCAAGCCTTTTTGGCTCATATGGCCTAGTCTTAAGTGCCATTTTTCAATAACATTCAAGTTAGTAGAAACCAAAGCAGAATTTAAATGATCAAAATAATAGGATCCAGACAGAATATATAAGCCATTCCTTTTTATCCCTTCAAGCAAAACACAATTACTTTTATAGACATAAAGGCAACCATTTTCAGCTTTATAACTACAACCAGACTCATCTAAACTACCTAATGAAATTAGGTTTCTTTTTAATTTTGGAATGTATCTCACTTTAGTCAACTTGACAGTTTTACCATTGTTTAGTTTTAAGGTTATGCTGCCTATCCCTTCAACTCTACAAGCATTATTATTCCCCATGTAAACTGTTTCTAACCTATTCTCCTCATAGTCCTGAAACCAATCTTTATTGGGACTCATATGAAATGAGCAACTAGAGTCCATTACCCAATCATTTAATTTTTCTGTTTTAGAAACAATTAGAACTTCAGATTCTTCTAAATTGGACTTAGAGGTTGCTAGGTTGCTTTCAGTGTTCCCTTGTTTCTGTTTCTTAAGCCAGGCATAATAGTTCTTTTTCAAATGGCCAGCCTTATTACAGAAGAAACACTTCCTGGTTTCTCCTTTGGCCTTACGGTTTTGTTTTCCCTTTTTCTTATTCCTAGGCCCACTATCAGACTGGACATAATTACTTATGTGGTTAAAGTCACCTTTTCCCTTAACAAATAGGTTACTACCAGTTCTTCTCTGCACTTTAATCTCTAACGCCCTAGCTTTTAATCCTGAAACTATTAAATCCACACTTGGGACAGTACCAGTGTATTGAAGGGCATTTTTTACAACCTGGTAATCTTCAGTTAAAGAATTCAAAAGAATCATAGCTAAACTAGAGTCTTCAAGTTCTTGAACTGTACCCTTCAACACTTGGGTCAGTTTCAAGAACTCATCAATAGTCCTAGAGCTATCCATTTTATATGCAAATAAAACACCTTTTAAGTAAGCTAGATTAGGTGCGGACTATAATGCATAAAGGGATTCGAGTTTACCCCATACCGCTGTCGGAGTTTCAAAGCCGTCTACCTTTTGCAGGACCCTGTCGGAGAGGTTCATAATGATCAGGTTGTACGCCTCCTCCTCCACTTCTACCTTTTTTTTTTTCAGTTTCTCCTCTGACCATTTGGTCTCGTCCTTTTCCAGTGCAATGGCTACCTTATTAAGTGATAATAAGGCTTTCATTTTCTTCTTCCAACTATTGAAATCAATTTTCCCATCGAATTGGGTGATTTCAACTCGTGTAGTAGTCATAGTGTTTAGATTTCGGGTTGGTGTTTGAATTTAGGGTTGACACAGAAGAAACCCTAATTTAGTTAGGATCGAATTTGGAACTGATTTCAAGAAATTGACTAGAAAATCTAAGGTTTTCCTAACCCTAAGACTCTAATTTGACTGATTATATCGAAACCCCCAATTTGTATAAACCCTAGGTTTCAAGAATCACTCAGATCAGACCGAAAACCCCTTAACTCTGATACCACTATTAATAATCAATCAAACTAAACCTAACCTGTTCCTTTATCAAACACGACTAGCAAACACTCAAGAAACAACACAAACAATAACAAATCAAGAACCAAGAACACAGCCAATTTTTACCGTGGTTCGTTTATTCCAAAGGAATAAACTACGTCCACATTGAGCTCCAAGTAAAATGGAGGCTCACTACACTATAAGGATCAATCCAATTACAGATTACAACTCAGTCAATAACAGCCACTCAAATCACACAATCATCCAACCTTCAATACCCCGTAATCTACTCTCAAAGACAACTACTTCAAGCGTCTCAACCAGAAGAGCCAAACACTTCTTCTACCCACAATTTACCTAATAAATTTCAACAAATTACACAAATTGAAGATTAACCAAACTAAGAATAAAACCCTAGCAGAGATGAAAAAACGCGATAGAGAGGATGAAAGCTACTATTCGTTTCTGTATAACTTCAGCTTTAAATAGGTTGACCTCAAGGCTTCATTTGCACCTTTGGATTAGACTGAAACCAAAGGCTGAGATCTGTCACTTAATAAAACTTCAAAATGACAGCATATTGCTTACTCCAACACGACACCGTTTGAAGCTTCACTCAACAATAGTCTTCAAAATATACGCATTTTATATTTCGTTGTCTCACAGTCAAAGTCCTCTTATTAAGTCTCACGATCTCACCACTATTTCTGGCGCGAAGTAGGTAGGTTGTAAAGTCTCTTAATAAAGGCATGTTCTTAAGCCAGAGATTCCTGCACTTGGATAACCATCTCTGAGTTATTAAAGTTTTGTATCTTGTTTCATCTTCACTAATCCATTTAGATTAAATTAGACATAGGAGAATTCTTGAACATGCCATGGCTTTTACAAATCTTCTTCGTCTTCTTACTTACCTGTCTATAGGCATCACTCTTAGCAATGGGTAGAGATGTTACGATACGGGAAACTTCACAACTAACAGTTGTTGATGCGTGATTTTTACACCAACGAAAGCACGTGTGAAATGCTGAGCTGACTCAGAAGACACACGTGAATGTGAAGGATAATGAGATAGTAAATGCAATGGGGACACTTTTTAAAGTGGTTCGGATGCTAAGGTAGCAAGTCCTACGTCCACTGATGCTTATATTAATGATAAAGGTTAGGTCGCCTTTAGCTGACTGACTTTACAATAATATTACAAGGTATTGAATGCTAAGAATTCTAGGGAAAGAGAGAACAATTAATCAAGCGTAAAATGTTCCAATTCCCCTCAATGAGAGAGGAGCTCCCAATTTGTAGTGGGATGCCTTAAGGCAATGATCACTAAATCTGTAAGTTGGTGGGATTATCTGTGCAAATCCTTCTTTATGTCACATTGCCCACCTTCCAGAATGATTTGCGCGATTTAGAGCAGGGATTAGACACGTGGGAGCACCACAGTTTCTGACTGGCCTGACGCGCACCCATTATCCTGACGGAAGCAGGCGGTGGTTGTTCCAATGATCTGACTTTTGTGGGCTGAATAGACCTGACGTCAGTCCTAATATTTTTTAGGCATAACAACAGTGTTTATGGCAAGAACCGCAACCTTATCCTTTCAAATCTTGCTTCTAATGTATCAACAAATGGGGGTTTTTATACTGCTACTATTGGCCAAGACACCATCGAAGTTTATGCTCTTGCACTTTGCAGAGGTGATTCTTCTTCAGAAATTTGTTTCAGCTGCGTCAACTCCACAACCCATGATCTTATAACCAAATGTCCCAACCAAAAAGAAGCACTTTTATGGGGAGGAGATCCTCCATGCCTTGTACGCTATGCAAACCGGTCTTTTATTGGATTACTGGAGCTGGATCCTAGGGATGCTGGCTATAATGTGAATAATATCACTACGAATTTGACACAGTTTGATCAGACCTGGGAAGGGTTAATGGATCGCGTGGTTACAAAAGTCTCTATGGGTTCTTCTAAGCTCAAATTTGCCACTGAAGAAGCTGATTTGACTTTCTTTCAGAAGATATACGCCTTAATGCAGTGTACTCCAGACTTATCCCGGAGTAATTGCGATTCTTGCCTTCGTCAATCTGTATCTTACTTCGAGAGCTGCTGTCATGGGAAGCAAGGAGGTTACGTTCTGAGGCCTAACTGTATTTTTCGCTGGGATTTGTATCCCTTTTATGAATCAACTGAAGCTCCATCTCCATCTCCGTCTCCTCCACTACCACCCAGAATTTCTCCTCCACAAATAACTAATACCCCACCCAGTAAGTTCGAACTTGATAAACTCAAATTTTAAGGGGAAATTTTAATTTAATTATTGAATTTTGTATTTTTCGCTTGGATTTGTATCCCTTCTATAAATGTTCAGAGGCCATTTTGATTTTTGCAGACAAAGGAGGCATTGCACCTGTAGTTGTGGGAATTATTATTGTCTCTATAATTATCATCATATCACTACTAGTCGCTTTAACTTATGTCTTTTTAAAGAGGAGGAGAAAGGCAAAGGGCGAGATAAGAAGAAAGCAAGAGCTAAAAGGTTAGTCATTTATGCATTGTTTTTTATGTCAAGGGTTATCAAATCTAAGGGTGAAATTTCAAGCTAGAATTTTGTTTTAATCTGGCTGCTTCTATTAACTCTGATATAATAGCTGCAATTAACAGAAGAAAGGAATTAATACTGAACAGAGAAATCACTCTCTAGCATCTGCCTTCGTAAATATGTTTTTCAGGAATAAAAGTCCATCATAATTTTTACATCTATCAGTGGCTGTTTATTTATATGCTTGACACTATTTTTAAGATGTCGGTGATGAAATTGAGACTGTGGAATCCTTGCAATTCGACTTCAGCGCTATCAAAGTTGCAACAGATGACTTTTCCATTGGTAATTGAGAATGTGGCAAAGAGCACCATTTGGTGATCAAAATGCATCCAGTTGTAAAGCTTGAGTTCCCGGAATGCAATTCAATTGTTTTGCATTTACCTCATTTTTTTTTCTTAATATCATTTCAGGGAAGACTTCTTGACGGACAGGATATAGCTGTGAAGAGGCTGTCTAGACAATTAGGACAAGGAGATCTAGAATTTAAAAATGAGGTCCTCTTGGTGGCCAAGCTTCATCATAGAAATCTAGTTAGGCTTCTAGGTTTCTGCTTGGAAGATAAAGAAAGGCTTCTTACATATGAGTTTTTGTCAAATTCAAGCCTAGATAACTTCATATTTGGTATGCAACAATTATTAACTAGATGTGTGTGCATATATGTTGCATATAAGAAAGCAAATGTTTTATGCAATCTATTGAAGTGCTTTGGTTTTGTTGAATTCTTAGATCCAATCAAGCGATTATTATTAGATTGGGAAAAACGATACAAAATCATAGGAGGCATAGCTCGAGGAATTCTTTACCTTCATGAAGATTCAAGATTAAGAATTATTCATCGCGACTTAAAAGCTAGCAACATTCTTTTAGATGCAAATATGATCCCAAAAATTTCAGATTTTGGAATGGCAAAGTTATTTGAAGTGGATCAAACTCGAGGCGATACAAGTAGAATTGTTGAAACCTTGTAAGTATATACAAGAACATACTTAGAGCTTGCTAATTAAAACTAGATTTTTTATTCATATCACAGGAAAATATCAAGATCTCTTATGTTTTACCACTTCCTATATGTGGCAAAATCATGAATAGTTTTGGTTTTCAGTAAAACTAACTAATTCTAACTTATGACCCTTTTCAGTGGATATATGTCTCCTGAATATGTAAAGTATGGACACTTCTCAGTTAAGTCCGATGTTTTCAGCTTTGGTGTGTTAGTCTTGGAAATCATTAGTGGCCAAAAGAACAGTAGTTTTTGCAATGGAGAAGAGGAGGAGGACCTGCTAACTTATGTAAGCAAAATCTTTTAACTATTTTATCTTCTTCTCTTTCAGATACTAGATAAGTGATGACAATGAAATTTCAAAAATCAAAGAAAGGCACTAACATTGTATGTGCATTGTTCATTTTTTGTAGGCATGGAGAAATTGGAAAAAAGGGACAGCTTTAAATACGATGGATCACACTTTGAGGGGTCATTCCAGTAGTGAAATTATGAGATGTATTCATGTTGGATTACTATGTGTTCAAGAAAATGAAGCTGATAGACCAACCATGACTTCAGTTGTTCTAATGCTAACTAGCAACTCTGTCTCTCTGTCAGTGCCGTCAAAACCTGCATTCTTTATGCACAGCGTTGTGGAACAGGATAAATCTGAAGTGACTGTGCCGGGTCAATCAAAAAGCAATTTTGTCCAATATTCAGTGAATGAAGCTTCAATCACTGAGCTGGATCCCCGTTAACATACAAGTATGCTAGATCTTTAAGCATGTTTGTTCTCTAATACTTTTACTTTGAGTTTAAATAAATATTGTGAAGTAGAATACTCTGTAGTTCTTCTGATTTTCTGGAATAATATTCAAGTCGTTGAACTAAAGAGTAAAAGGTATTGTTGTTAATTATTTTTTCTTCATCTGGAAAATCTACTTCTCGTCATCAGAGCTTCATCACTGAGGAGAATCCTTTATTGTATTACCCCTTTGTTCTTCAGATTTGTAAGCAAATGAATGTAAGCTGTCCAGAATTCTTCTACATTTGCTGTGATGAAGTCTTATTTAGTTAGAAGAAAAGTTCAACGACTAGGCTTATCCGTGATTAAAGGTCTATCAACTTTAAACTTATGCATTGATTTACATTTTACAACTGTATACAATAGATTTAGACTGTTCTTAATTTTATTTATTTCATGGAGTCATATTTTTTTTTTTTTTTCATTCCACTTTTTTCACCTCTAATTTCCTTCCTTTTTTTCACTTTTACTCTTCTTAATAGGAGTTTGGATTTAAGACTGTTTAGTGTTGTAAACCAGGTAAATTGTATTCAGGTGATATATTTTTGCTTACACCAGCCTCTATCTATGCTAATAAAGCATAAGAAAGATAAACATAGACTGGAAATGTACACGTAGAGTTCTCTGATTTTCACTTTGTTTGGTTACTTGCTTGATATGTAATGTTGATCATGACTTCAAATAAGGGTTATAAATAGATTGAGAAACTATTCTTACATTAATTCATAGTTTAATAATCAGGGGTCTCCGCCAATGTTAGAATGCCACATTGAAATATTTGATTGAATTGAGTCAAACCTGTTTGATATATGTATAACCTGCAAGCGGACAGGCGACAACAGGAGATTTGCAATTACATGAATAGGAAACTATTTCTGGACAGACCCACCCCTGCCTATCCTCGGTCCTTGAAATAAATTAATTATTAAATAAATTTAGTTCATTTAATTATAAAATATTAACATGTAACTGTTGGTGAGAATTCATAGCTGCATTCCATTTTATTCTCACATTAAAAGTAGCCAACATACATATAATAATAGTACACTACCTTCCTGTGGAAGATAATTCATGAAGATCAGAACTGATCATTCCAATAGACTCTTTCGATTCAATCTCATTGCTTACCTTCTTACAAGCCATCTCAATTGCTAAACAATAGTTTAATTGATTCACAATTTGATTCATGGTTGGCCTGTTGGCGGAAGATGGAGAAATACAAGCCATTGCTATTTCTACAGCTTTCTGCACAGAGTTTAAGTTGAAGTCTCCCTGCAATCTTGGATCAATAACATTTTTAATATCTGCCTTGGCAAGCATGAAACTCACCCACTGACTTATATGAGTCCTGTCACTATTGTTTTCTACCACGGATTTGCTTGTAATTATCTCCAAGAGAACCACCCCAAAGCTATACACATCACTTTTTTCAGTCAACCTGTTTGATATATAGTACCTGTAGGACCATAATACATGATTTGGGCAGCTATGTAGGATAGAAAATTGACAATACTTCAGTATTCTAGAGATTATAGTTCTGATAAGAATAAGATATACTTACTCAGGGTCAAGGTATCCAGGGGTGCCAACGATAGTTGTAGACACATGAGTTCCACCTTCAGCTGAAAAAACTCGGGAAAGGCCAAAATCAGCTAATTTGGCTTGAAAATTTTCGTTAAGTAAGATGTTTGTTGATTTCACATCTCTGTGGAATATGGGTGGTTTACAGCCATTGTGGAGATACTCCAATCCTACATTTCAAATCCAACTCTTAACATTAAACAAATTACAAGCATAAAGAAAAGAATGTAAAACATACGAAAAAGGAAAAAAATTGTAAACTATATACTTCCTAACCTTGTGCTGCCTCTACTGCTATTTTAAGTCTCCCTTCCCAACTCAGGATATCCTCATTATCTCCTGCATTAATAAGTATAAGCATCTTGTTTATTTATTAATTAAGACCTTGGATTAATCTCTGCATCCTAAGAAAGTTGCTCAAGGTAATAGCAGTCTAAACTGGCTATGTAGGTTTATTAAACAAACCTAAGAGATGTTTTTCTAAGTTCCCATTAGCCATAAACTCATAGATTAGCCCCATGTTTATGCCCTCATCGCAATAACCAACAAGTGTTGTCAGGTTTTTGTGATGTACTCTCATAAGAAGTTCGACCTGTAAAGATAAAGCTAATATAAATTATTCTCAAAAATACAAAAAGTTAAAAAAATAATGAGCAAGTACATTGAAATACCTCAGCTTGAAACTGCTTATATCCTTGAGCTGAAGATGGAGAGAGCATCTTCACAGCTACTTGATTGTCATCCAAATATCCAAGGTAAACTGTTCCGAATCCTCCTTTCCCGATAACCGTCTCAAAGTTGTTGGTAATCTTCACAACATCAGAGTAAGAGAACCTTCGATTTTTCAGCTCCAGTGACCTGTTATTATTCAAATCTGGAAGAAAACTTCCGTGTTAATAACCACAAATTCGATGAATAGAATTTGGAATTTCATCAAAATTTGAAAGTGTGATCTAAAACTAAATAAATTATTTAGTGGCTTTTTTACCTTGTTTTCTCCTTTTGAAGCCCCATAAAGTAGCAAATACAGTTAAGACGACGCATAACGAAACAGCTGCTTCTAGTAACGGAATAATAAACTTGTTCTTTTTTGCACAAGAAGCTTTAGGACAAAGATCTGGATTTTCGTGCACACTGAATCATCATGAGGAATAATGTAAGAATTCAACAATATAAAAGTCCGTTGACAATTTTAATGTTCAACTTTTGACAGAAAATAAACCTTAGGGATAGCAAATTATCCTTCTGTTTTTGCAAGAGTCCAGCTGGAATTGAACCTTCGAGTTTGTTTCCAGTCAAGTTTCTGAAAAAAAAAAAAATTGTAATTAAAGATTAGACCCTGTTTTCCTAAAACCAAGAAAATTTTCCTAATGGCCGTAATCCTGATAAAGCAACTTACAGCTCTTTCAAGTATGGTAGCAGTACTAGAAAATCAGGCACTGGGCCGGTCAAATTGTTATTTGATAAGTCCCTGAAATTGTAATTGAAATGTTAAGCTGAATGTGGTCAGTATTTTAATTGTAATTGGTTGATCACTTGATTACAGGTTTCTTTGAGATTTGAGATGCGTACAGAATTTGTATTGATGTGAGCTTGGATATGTCAGGGGATATCTCGCCGTCTATTCCACTAGATGATAAATTCCTGCTTGCCAATAATCTTTTTTACATGCATAATCTTATTAACATAGTGTCCAGTCAAGTTTTTCTAAAAGAGTAGACTTACAGGGATATGATCCTGGGGGGATTATAATCATCGTAGCTGCAATTAAGGCCTTGCCACAAGTACTTCCGCGGGGCGCATGGATCTCCTTGCCAATTTGATCTTTTCACTCCATATTTTGACTTGATATTCATGATCGCATCAACTAAGATTTTTACAAGCATAAAGAAGTAAGAACCAAACTAACGATGACTAATCCTATACAGAAAATGATTGTCTAGAAGAATATACACACCATCTTGCTGGTCAGTCAGCCATTGCATGAATTCTTGGGCACGATATATTTCCAGGGCGTTGAGGATGGGCGGTAGTGTTGAATTCTTAGTTTTGTTGATAGTTATCACATTTTTTTCTTCACTTAACATGGGTAATACGGAATAACTAGTGCTTGTGTATAAGTATGTAGAGGGGACTATATTACTACCGACAACTCTTCCATTTGTGAAGATGTTCATTTCTCTAATCTGGTTTTCCTGGTGGTCTTGAAGTTCAGCTATATAGAAGTAGAGATAATATTGGTAATCTGGATCACTAGTTTCCCAATTGAACTGCAAGGAATCGCTACCGTTTTCTGGTATAATGGCAGTCTGCATGACCACAGACGGTGGTTGGAAATTGTTCCGAGTGTCGACAGTGAGTGAGCTATTGATTGGTGTCCAGTTCTGGCTGTTGTAGGGCGTCCAAATGCGGTCATAAATGTCATCTTTATACCTGTATTATATAGTTTTACATAGTTTTATAACTTTTTCCATTTTATTGAATCTTAGTGAAGAGAACAAAAATTATTAAAAAGATTAAAAAAAAAAAAAGGCACCTAAGCAGAAGACATCATAAGCCTTAATTCCAACACGGATATGAAAGTTTGGAAGACTAAAACATAGAAGCTAGCAAGTTTGGAAGCTTCAAATTAATTATTAGATCGATTTTGCTGATATAAAACAACTGACCTGATTGTTTGATTGGCAGTTGAACCAACATCCCACCTCCTATAGAGCAGTAGTGATCCTGATTGAGTTTGATAAGTGGAATTACTCAGGGGCCTTAATTCCAACACTGATATGAAAGGTGTTCCAGAGTCTGTGTTTTCAAGACAAATATATACGTAGTTTCTCTTGGGAATATGGATGATCTCCTTGGTAACTATGGTAGATGCATTTGGCAATTCCACCGAATCCCACATATCAGCTCCAAGAATGAGATTAAACCTTGGTACTTTACCTTTGCCATCTAATTCCATACATGAACCTTGCTCTAATCAAGAACTTAATTTCGCCAGGAGCAGTTTTCAAGGTGTAACAATTCTTTTGCCGTCTGGGAAGCTTCTCACTTTCAAGAATTGTTGTTCAAGGGTATGCTCTTGATTTAGATGAGATATTACTGCAACACCAGTCTCTCATGAAGGTTGCATCTGAAGTGTAATTTAAGCCTGTCACCTTGTCGGTATAGCCAGAATTTCTGATATCCACAATCGATGCTAATGAAAGCCTGGAATATATACGGATATAAACAAAGAGAAAACAAATCTAATTACATGGTTGGCAGAATAACAATACAACTAAAATTCATGCTTAAAGATGGATAGAGTTACTAAACCGATTGACTCTGGGCGTGAACCAGGACTCTGAGAGCAGCTATATATATGAATGCATA